CATATAGTAGACGACATAATCTTATTCTGTTTGGAAATACCCTTTGTATTTCATTGTCGGGATTGCTCAACTCTAGTTTTGCATTTCCCTTTTTTTAATCGTTTCGAATGGATCAGCATTTATAAAGGCTCAATTCGGAACAATTCGAACTCCTGCTGCAATTTCTTAACAAACCCAACTCATTTTTTCGCAACATTGACAATGCTGCGCTATTTTAATAACAATAGTATAGTTGGGATAACATTAGAGGAAACATTCGGAATCCGCGAATGTTTTATCCGTGGCCAGTCCCCGCAGTTTCGAAAGCAACAACAAATTTATTAAAAAAATTTCTGTTTCTTTACTCAGACCCTGTTTATAGTGCAAAACGTCGAGCTCCTTAATCAGCTCCTTAAATTCAGTTCTTCATTGCTTGCTATTATTATTATTAATTTATGTTTGAAAAAAGGAAACAGTCCGAGAGGGGCTAAGTCTGTCGAATAAACAATAACAAATAATATTTTTGTTGCCTTGCGATTAGGAGAGTTAACGTACAAATTTTGTTCAATAAAGGTATCAGAACGATGAACAAGCATGCTTAGATAAAATTTGACTTGTCATGCTGATCTAGAAGATAGTCCTAAACTTTATGGAAAAGGCTTTCCTTTGTCTGTAACAACCTAAGATATCGTATTTGCCCTTCGGAAACAAGGGAGAAAGTGTGGAAAACTGGTACAGTTCATAGAGATTAAAAATGTTAGCTTTGTTACAATATTGGGGTTTATCTTTGAACAATCATTTAAATAGCATAGCAATGCATTTTGCAGCAGTGCATCGAATGAAATCGACAGCAGTGGGAAGTGGCTCCTGCAACCGGTAAATGACAACCGCACACCTCAACACTTAACTCTCAGCACAACAACAACAACTACGATAACAGAGCATGTTTAGCCGCAACTTCTGGCTGCCACTCGGACGAAATTGAAACGAGATGAAAAAAGAAATACCAGAGCTAGTCGTAACTGTTTAAATTTTTATGACAAGCGCATGAATCCGTGTGCAATTGTAAATGCGGCATATAATTTACAGATAATTATTATAATTACAGGTTATTTTCAGTTAACATTTTTGCGGCGCATTCGTTAGCGTGGCGCGACTTTTGCTGTTGTTGTTGCTGTTGTTACAGCGACTGGTTGACAGGCTAGCCGGCAAGCCGGCTGCCTAAAGGCGGCTGTCAAGCTGTTGCTGTTGCAAAATTTTGACCACCGTAGCACACATAAGCAATTAACTTCAATTCCAGCTACACACAATTTTTTTTTTTAAATAGACACAATTTTTAATTAGATTTTGTAATTAGGCACGAAATGCGTTCATTGAATTGGTCAATTAGGTAAATGTTTTTGCGAAAACGTGACCTAAATTCCATTTGGACATGCCACGCCAGAGGACAGTGTTCGACAACAAAAGACTTGGGCAACGAACTTGACATGGGACAGCCAGTACAGACGGGAGAGACTTTTACGAGCCCTTGGGCAGGACAAGACATAAATGTTGTTGGTGGTACAGGCCGTAAAAGATAAACATTATTTACGCTGGTTGCTCAAGTTATCAGACGTCACGGCATGTACCGTTCAGCGTGCAAGAACAACAACAACAACAACTGCAGCATTGCAGCTAAGATAGAAATTTTAATGCGATTTGTTGGCGATAAGCGGCCAGAAGCATTTTATGTCTGCAGCATGAGCATTTAATGCATTTTCAAGTCCCCCGTTGCAGTTGTGTCAGGTGTTGTTGTTGTTGTTGTAAGTGGCAGCAACAATAGACAATGGCTTTGGATTAATTAAAAGTGCTTTAATCATCGGCCAAGGAAACAAACGCTGCGAGTACGTGAGTCATTTGAGACCGCCAACTCATAACTCCACGGCCACTTATGCGTTATGGCCAAAAGGCCGGTACGAGCGAAAACTGAAAACTGAACTAAAGCTGATATATGTTTGCACTGGCCATAAATAAATTTGGCAGTGGCGCGCCGCCAAAAACAATCTATGGCCGTTGACGGTCCATGTGTGTTTGAGAGCGCGTCTCGTGCGCGATAAAAATCGCTGGCAATTTGTTAAATTTAACGATTTCCAACTTAACAACTAAAAACGCGACGCATACGAAACTGTGCCGAAAGTTGGTTTGCTTGCCAGCCTGTTGGCCGGCCTGCCTGCCTGCCGCCTCCTGTGGGCCTGCGCGGACATTTCGACTGTTTTATGACCAAATAAATAATTAAAATGATGCGTGGTGTTAACTGCCGCCACGTCCGTACTCTGTGGAGTGGGCAGCAAACAGCCACACGCAGCGTGGCATTTCTTTTGAAAATTTGTCATAAATTTATAGCTTTCGCGCGAGTTCACTGTACCGATGCCGCCGCCGCAGCCGCCGCCGCAGCCGCCGCCGCAGCCGCCGCCGCTGCGTACAGTACAGCACAGCCCAGCACGTACGCCTTGGTGGACTGCTCGCTTAATTGGTTGTCATGTGGCACACATTTCTTCCGCAAATTGGCCGCCAGATATCTGAGATGTGACACTTGGCACGCGGACCACACAACGTCGTCGTCCATTCTAATGGCCAAGCAAACATAAACAAATTTGCCCAATTTCATGCCAAGACACTTCCAGGCTCATTACACAAGCCCAAGTCACGATTAATTGCTTAAAATAGATTGTACCCTATAGCCAAAAATTCCAAGACTTCCTTCATACTCCCCGCTAGTTCGGCTACAAATGTTGGGGTAGACTTTGCGAAACTAGGCATTCCATTCAAGCAAGGGAATACTATTTTTTTTTTACCTTTTGAACAAACAAATCGAGAAGGATATGCTGCCGTTAAAATATATTTATTTTAAATGTCTCATAGCTACGAGTTATAATCATCGCACAATAATAACAAAAATACTAATTTTCAACACAAGTGTATGGTTTCAAAATATGGCTGATAACTGCGACTGCCACACAAAGCATAGAAACATTTATCAATAATTGCTTAATTGTGAGGATTTGCAATCTGTGCCAATTGTCCAGGTATGTACGTACTATATATACATTTTAAAAGACTAGCCACAGTTCGCTACCACTCATCCTGATGTTCTCAACATCACCATAGTCTGAAGAAAACATCGTTGACCAAGAAATCACGTCGATAAAACATTTTATCGTTCAGATATGACGGATGGCACAAAGTTAAAAAATCATTTAAAAAATTATGCTTGAAACAATTGCAAAAGTATACTCATATATTGCTGTTCATTTAAACTCAATTTTTCGTCATTTCAAAATATTATATAACTAAGTTTTAATAAGTACTATTCCCAGTACACAAGCAATCACACAAGCTTGCAAATTGTATTAACAAAAGTACACTGGTTGCACATTTCTGGCTTGTGTTTCAGAATCCAGCAACATGTGCTAATCCAGCGAATTCAAGTATACTAGAAAGACAAATAAATCATACTCTGGCCTCCAAAATTCCATCCCATTAATTGTAATTGCCATAATACTTATGCTATCACATATGTTGATGTGGTTGTATTTTTCATTCTCCTCTACAGGAATAGAACCACATTATGAAAATACTATATATCTCAGAATATAAAAGGATCACCCCTACGCTTCAAAACTGTAGATACTGTAAAAAGTATACTCGTGTACAGACAATTTAATTAAAATCAGAATAGATCGAGTTTGCAATATAAAGGGTATCCCATAGCCACTCGTTCTATTTGAAAAACAGTTTTTAACATGTTTTTGGTTTTTAGTGGAAAACATTACGCCCTTTACCTTTGAACCGGTCAGCGCACTCAACACATGCCGAGCCAAATTGCTGATTGTGCGCACATTTTTCATAGAAGCCGCTGTCGTAATTAAATCACCAGTCCGCTTTGGTAACGGCAATTAAGGCGGTCACTACACAGACACAGCCCCAGCCCCGGCCCAAAATAGTTCTCATTTCGCTGTAAAATTTAATGTGTAACTAGAGAACATTAAGGTACACGTAATATGCTTTATGACCTCTTCTCGAGTTCTCGACTTCTTCGCAAATGACACTTGTTGCAGCTTCTTGTCTTTGGGATCTCCAATTATCGTAGTTTTGAACCAAATATTTTATGGGTGTGGCTGCTTTTACGATCGGACGTCGGCCTTATCGCTTTGTATCGCAAAGGTACGTAGAAATAACAGAATGCTGGGATCTTAACTGATGACTGCCCCTTGATATAGTCCTTGCCCCATAATGATAAAGTTGTCATGTGTAAGAGCGACACGTTTTCACCTCGCAGAGGAAGTCGTTTGGGAATTTCTCAGTAAATGTGGCTGAGGTTTTTGTAATGATTTTCTAAAACTCTCAGACAGCCAACTAGAGGTAATTGGTTAACTGAAGTGCAGGTTTTAGGCTGCAAATATGACTCGAAATTATGAAACTTAAATCGAGAGAAGGGGTTTTTTTTTTTTAAATTAGCTTGTCTTTTTTAAATTTGTTTCAAAAATTAAATCTTTTCAGCCAAGGCACTAAGAAAATTCAAAAGGTTTTCCATAAACAGCTTACAAAAACACATATTTACGAATGGCAGAAACTTTTCAAAGAGTTTCGAGAAAGTGTTGACGACGAACCGCATGCGAGAACAACACTTAAAGAAAACCAAACAATCGGTTCTTCTAATCGTCTAGTGTTAACTATAGACATTGCTTATGCTGTTGGCATTTCTAGTGAATCATTCAATACCATTTTAAGAGAACTCAAATCTCGTTTGATTTCAAAAACCAGACATATATCGTTTCAAAACCACCGCATTCGTCTGATTTAGCTCCCTTAAACTTTTTAGACTGTTTCGTGGATTGAAAAGGCATTGGTATTTTATCCGGAAGAGATTACTTTAAGGTGAGTTTTTGTAAACAGATAAGTCCGCATGACCTTGATGTTTGAATCGTAGAAGGCTGCTTGTATTGTCGATATTGTCGAATTATAGTAAAGAACTCTATTACTCAAGAAATATGGGCTGCAGCTGTTTTAAGCATGCACCGTCGCCCTATCCAACGGTGCCCGTGGAGTTCATGGAAACGCTCAAAACGCAAACCAGCCGTAAGTCCACACACATTTGTATAACTAAGAAAGTTTTCAGGCCATATAGATCTACAGTTAGTCGCAGCCAGATTCAATATCTCTACAATCGCTTCTGCCAGTTTGGGAGCGAAGCTGACAGTCTGCCTCCGCGTCATTTGCACAAATACAACTTCTATTCGGGCCGATTGCAGCTGAACCCCCTGCTGCCCACCATACTCAACTGCATGTTTGGGGAGAGGAGTGTCATTTCTTTCGTGGACTTTGCCTTGTTCTTGAGCACATTTCAGGCACACAGCCTTAAGACCACGGAGGAGCAAAAAGTTGAGATTAAAAATCACAAGCTACGCTGTAAGTGAGCTTCTTAGCACTATATATCCGAAATGGACAAGCTTCGTTCATTCCTAAACAGTGCTCTTCAACATGTACGATCATACGAAGGATGGACGCATTACTAAAGTCGATCTGGTGATGATTGTCCACAAACTATTCTCCAATCTACTGGACCATCGGCAGATTATGAATATTGTGGACTCGATGATGAGCGAAATGGATACTTCGGATACCAATCAAATACTATTCAATGACTTCTGCCAAGCCTTTGAGGTGTTCGACATGACCGAAATGCTAGTCATGTGGATTCCGGAGTTCAAAGGCAGATTGTCTGACCCCACCGATACGCCAGATAATTGAACACACCTAACGCCTTTTTTATGCTGCTCTCAATAAAGTTTTATTGACTTTAGGCGCTGATGCCGAACATATCAACCAGAAATATCCGTTGCTACGGAGCTACAACATCTTCGATGCTTGTTGAAAGATCCAACAGTGGACTGTTTCCAGGCCCTACACGCCCATTAGCATCGGCTGCAGCTGATTGTGGATTCGATAGCAGTAGAGTTATCATCATAAGCTGAAATTATAGGTGGACAATATAATGGGGGATAACACATTTATCCATTGCTTTATCGCACCGCCATTACAGCACTCTTGCCAGCTAGCCAGTCCTTTAATTTCCAGTACATATCCTCAAGAATGCGACTTTCCATTAGTTCTGAATGCAGTCGAAATAAAACTAACAGCTCTTCCAATATTTTGTGGTATTTATAGTGGCTTAAAGCAAAAGTTCCTTTAATATTTATTCACATTTTAAATGTTGACACGATCTTCGCGCTGTTAATAATGTATATGTCACGACTCTCTCGAGACTCATTATTGCGAAACTGACTGCAATGCTTGTAGTACTGTTTTTAGTATCTTTCTATCTTTCTAAAAAGCTTTGCTTAGATCCGATGGTAGATTAATTTTTTAGTGTGGCTTTAGCACAGACTATTAGCAACAGGAAAACCAATCAATTCCTTTTTAATAGCTTTTTGTTCCATAAGAAAGTTCCCCTTACAAATATTTATTCATTGTTTCTGTTTGTTTGACTGTATGAACGCAAAGATTTCGGAAAGTATCAAAGCTAGAGTTAAAGAACTCGACGTGCAAGTTCTTTGAAGCTCGATAATTTTCTCAATATATATTTCATTCTACTGCAGAACACATTATCAGTTTTTTGTTTCATAAGAAAGTTCCCCTTACAAATATCATTCAAGTAAACAGCTTGTTTCTGTTTGTTTGACTGTATGTACGCAAAGATCTCGCAAAGTATCAAAGCTAGAGTTAAAGAACTCGACATGCAAGTTCTTTGAAGCTCGAAAATTGTCTCAATATATATTCCATTCTTCTGCAAAACACATTATCATAATATTATCATATTATAGTGTGAGTGATCAGCATTCGAAAAATGAATCTTCATCACAAAGTATGCGTCCTTTTTTTTTTTGAATAATTAAGACGTTTTATAAAAAGTGTTGCTAGTTGGCAAGAAATCTCAGACACTCAATAGCCTACATAGATTCCAATATGTTGCGCGGAGTCGATTAATTCAGAACACCTTTATGACTCTATTAGCAACCGTCCTATAAATGCACAAAAACCACTCAAAGCTCATAAAGGTTATTATCTTGAACACTGCATTCGAGTCAACTGATCTGTTCCTTCTTGACCACAATTGTATGGTGCCTTGCACACTGAACGCGTTGAAAAATGTGCCATACAACATAAATAACATTTTATTGGCAATTTAGTTGGGAAATTAATGTGCATGCAGTTGGCAACTTTGGTAATTTATGCAAATAAAACGATCGTAAATTTGGCATTAAAACGCTTATTAAATGATCGTTTATTAGCCAAAGCCAAAGCCCAAGATATGCCAGCGCATACGAGTATACACAGAGCCCCACATACTGGTATAAAGCCTCTGGTTAAGGATCAGCAATCACATTTGTCTCTGTGGAAGCAACAGTCGCGGCAACCGCGTGGCTTACGAGTGAATATGCAACAAGGTTGCGATTTGTAGTACCCGCATAAATTAAGTGATTAACAGAATTGTTCTTAAATGTTGGCAGCTACTTACAAGATTGATATAATTTACGAGTGTGCTGCTACATATGTGGCAATGGTGAGCGCTCCATTGATGCATCACGGCTTGTTCGTTGACTAAGAGAGAAGCAAAGAAAAAACCAACCATAGATTCTGAGAATCCCATGGATTCGCATGTGCACATTGTATTATGTATTAGTTATCGCATTGTGTGTTAATTTGACAACGACAAAAAAATATGCCACTGAGCCGAGATTCCTTGGGAATCGAAGGCAGCAACACTCGGCCGCATGGCGACAAACGAGCCTTGTTGCTGTCAAAAGTAAGAAATATAACCATATAAAATCAGTCGGCTTGGCCATTGAGCTGCTGCCATGCCCATCAACCGTTGTTGTCATGCTCGTTGTCATCATCTCCATCGCCATCGCCTTCGCCTTCGCCATCGTGATGGCAGTGGCAACAGGATTAGCGAAATAAATGCGATCCATCCAGCAACGGCCAGCATCTACTCAAGGCTGTCAGTATTCACATCACAATTTATTCGAGCTTGCAAGCATCAAAAACACATTGTATCTTTCATAATCCCTGCGCTGTTTTTGGTCAGGCTTGGAACAGATTACTGCTGATTGATGCTGAGCCAAAATTGATGATGTAAGAAAGATTGTGTTGTGTATTTACAGCTTTCTTTTGAGTCCATTTTGAGTGAATCGTTTGTGACGTGTTCGTTTCATTTCAACTTTAAAAGTTTTGCTCCTTCAGTCAACGAAATGAAAAGTGATTTTATCTTCTTTTTAGATTAACTATTCTCAGCACACCAATTTAACGCTCTATTAGTCAATTATTGTATTACCTTAAACGCTTCAGTTCTTTTATAGTGGGTTGTTGGAGTTTTCATTTTTGCAGTAGGGTTATTAAAGCAGTTCCTAAAAGTTACTCCTGAGAGTATGCTGTTTTTAATAGGTAGTTGTTATAGAGATATAAATAGAGTCCCCACCACACATATATTTAGCCATTAAAAGAACAATTTATTAACTAAAGTAACTAAAAACTAAAACTAAATAAAATCTATTCAAGTCTTTATGTTAAGCATTGGCTTTTAATTTGCTTAAAGAAATCATGGAAAGGTCTATATTAAGTCTTCGAGTACCCCTGCAATTTTTACCAATGTTGGTAAGTACTTTTCGAAACTTAGTTATGATATAAAAACTCATTACTTTTTAATTGCTTTGCTAATGTATTTTATTGATAGCTGATTATTTTCTTGTCATCATTAAGTTAGTTTGAGTGGAAGTGCTGTTATTAATTTTTGCAAAAGCGGCTGTAAATCATTTAAAACAGTGAGCAGTTGCGTTAATATAGTAGAAAGATTAAGATTGCCCAAGACTGTATCGAGTAATGCTCCAGTCGCACCGGACGGGCACAACAGTACGGTGAACAGCATGACCTGTAACCAAGGATTCAACTTTTGTTAACAATTGTCGATGTATAGAAAGGAATTCTTACAGCAACAAATATAACCCTGTCCATTCCATTCTTTATGTCCTAGTCCATTCCTTACTTATCCACAACATTTTGGCTTTGACTATACTTTATACAATTGAGAAAGAACAGATAAAAATTTTCCGAAACACACGACTATTTATATATCCCAGAAAGCATTGTTGCTGGCATCATGATTGTCGTGATGCTAATTTCGAAATGTCACGTCTTTTGTTTTATGGATAACCACTAAACGATATACAAATGCACGACTTTAGTGTTGTACTATTGGAACTAATTTAAACTGTTTAATTAACTTGTTAATTTAGTTCAATATTGAAGCCTTTTCAACTGTTTTGCAGCTAAGCTTATGGTTGAAAATGTGATGTACATTTCTTTTTCTATTACATAAAACTATCCCAAGTAAATTAAAGCAGAAGAATGGAAATAAAAATTTTCTAATATCATAAATAAACTACTTTGTGGATTTAATACAAAAATGACAGTAGATAAATAAAAATAAAAATAGTAGATAAATAAATTGGGAAAATTAGTGCCTAATAGGCATTTAGAAATTAAAAAAAAAAATATACAATTTAAAAGTTTTACGACACAACCAAATTTGCAGATTCTATAGGTACAGTCCTTATTTGCTTACTGATTAGTATTACTCTAATAATTTCGCTATATTGAAGCCCAAAGGCACCCTATAACACTATTTGAAGAAGTCGGTCACCACCACGAAATATTGGCAACATTGCGATCGCTCTTCACCTTCATTCAATACCTGCCGCATTCTTTTATGCTTCAATCGATGGCGATGTGTTTGCCTTTTTTCTGTTCCAAATTTTGATTTATGGGCACAACGGCAGGCCAGATATTTGAAAGCGCACACATTAGCGATCTGACTTACACCTTTGCGTTTCCGTTTAAGACCGTGCTTTAGTGACTCTTTTCATTCATAACCCGAGGCGCTCATTCACAAAACAGTCCGCTTTAGCCACTCACTCACTCACTCACAGAGCAGTTATGTTGTATGTATTTACATTGACAACTTAATATCAATTTGAAATTTATCAAAATTAAGAATTAAGTAAATCGTCTTTCAATTTAAATACCCCATCAATTACAGCGACTTAGGGGGATCTCTTGTAGGAAGAGATTCGAGCAGCTGCCGCAGACAAATGACCTGTCCATTTATAAAGAGGCTAGTACAACGGCCAATCAGCAGGAAGCTGTGGGCCAGTATCTGTGTTTGAATGTTTGTAAATAAATGTTTTGTGGCCTTTTTTGAGCCCACAATACAGATTTATGAAAATAGGCAAAGGGGCCACACGAAACGCGCTTAGAGAGTCGTCCATTTATGTGGAAATTTTGTTTGATAACTTAACTCGAGTCTCGAACAAGCCATTGAATGTCACAGGTGAGCACGGCACAGCAGACAAAGGTAGATAATAAATTTCAACAATTTATAACTGGCAATTCATAAATTTATTAATGAATTAAGTTATAAGATAATTTACAGTTGAAAGCCCCCAACAGAACATGAAGCGCTGATCGAAATGCAATCTGCGCAACGAGCAGAAGTCCAGTGTGGATGGCGGAGTCGAGTCGAGTCGAGCCTGCGCCGTTCGCCGAGCTGATGATCAGTGATGATCGGCGCAATATATCAAGTCTGACTGTGGTCGGCATAAGGGCACAACGACGACAACGACAGGGACGTGGAGGCGAGAAACAGCAGAGCATAGCAAGACACAGTGGTCGCAAGCTTGAGTTTGTTGAACATTGAAGAAAAAACTTGAGCAATTCA